GCATGCACACATGCCTGTGTGAGTGTGGCTGGTGCATGCACACACATCCCCTACAGCGCTAGGGTTTACAGGCAGGAAGGATAGCACACTTGGATTATTTCCTGGGTACTGAGAACTGAGCTCAGGTCCTCATAGTTACACTGCAAGTGCTCTTAACTAGAGCCAACTTTTCCCTCTTTGTTTTTTGCTTTTTGACTATGAGTGGGAGATTCAAATGTCTCTAAGGGAAGCCAAGAAGCTAGAAGCCAGACACCAAGAAACCAGAATAAGAAAACTAGGAGGGGTAGAGGCCTGCTCCATGCTTTGTAGCAACACCCTGGTGAGATGGTAAGACCTAGGAGAAGATGAGTCCTTGGTGTACCAGGGACAATCCAGAGTCTTTCACACCGTATGTGTGAGATGGGCAGAAGAAAGCCACTGTACCACCTGGCATGGGACAACTGAAGTCTCATCAGTGATAGCTGACAGTTTAGAGGTCCATGGATGTCTCCATGATTTGTATACCCCAGTAATCTCCCACCTCTAGAGGAGAAGAGTATGGCTAATTTTTAAGTGTCCTTGGAAGAGAATGGGAAGCAACCTCCTTGGAGATATTTTCCTAGGGGTTCAAATCCTGAGAAAGCCCTAGAAACCAATGGGTGGTCTTTTTTTTTTTTTTTGGTTTTTCGAGACAGGGTTTCTCTGTGGCTTTGGAGGCTGTCCTGGAACTAGCTCTTATAGAACAGGCTGGTCTCGAACTCACAGAGATCCGCCTGCCTCTGCCTCCCGAGTGCTGGGATTAAAGGCATGCGCCACCAACGCCCAGCCCAATGGGTGGTCTTATTTAGTTTCACCAGTTAAGGATGTCAACACTGTATAATACCACCGAGGAATGACTGCAAAGAGAAGCCTTGACAAGAAAGAAATGATGACACTAAAGACAATTTGAGCAGATTATTCCATTTTTTCTTTGAACAAAATAGACAATAGTCACCAGGTGCTCTTAGTTGGAAGCAGCTTTTAACCAGGGGCCAGCTTTTGTGGTTCTCTGCATTCCACATCTAGAAACAAACCATAGATTTAGCTTCTAATGCTAGAGCCAAGGAATCATGCAACTGGGACAGCTATTTTTATTTCCTTTGCACTAGCCAAACTGGCAATGTGAGACAGCAGGAGTCCTAAATCTGAAGTCAGGAAACCTGGATTTGAAACCCATATTTATACCAATTACTACTTATAGAGCTTGGACAACTTTCATTGTTCGGACCCCCAGTTCTCAGCCTATAGAGCCCCTCCTCTGACTGCACAGGAAGAAGGTGAAGATGACATGGAAAAGCACAGACTGCATGATTTAATGTTACTTTCTTTCTCTAAACATATGGAATGCCATTATTCCGCCACAGCACTCTGCAAAAACATGAACTTCCTCAATAGACTGGTAGACTGTCAAGTGATTTTGGTATTTGGTAAATTGTTTTGTAATTAAAATATACAACAGCATTTCTTTAAGGAGCAAAAAATTAAACAATAAGCCTCAAAAACAAGAAAACCTCACCAAATTCCTCAATGGAGAAATAACCTACCCAGGGAAATGATGTGCATACACAGGTATTATAAGATGGAATGCCACCTAGAAAAGTCTTGGCATATGAGTGTGCATGTGTGTTTGTGTAAAATATTACTTCTTATCTGGGAGTAGTGATGCACACCCTTTAATTCCAATATTTGAAGGCAGAGGCAGGTTGATCTCTCAGTTGGAAGCCAGCCTGGTCTACAGAGTTCCAGTGTCCCGACCCGCAGGACATTCAACGTGGGTCTGGTGGATACCTAGGAGAAAGATGGAGGACAGGGGATACAGGAATGGACGCCAAGACAGGATTCTGATCAAGGCGACAGCTTTATTTCATCACAAAGGGATTTATATAGGAGAACTGAGGAGGGAAAGGGGGAAGATGTGCTTGCAGCTGCAGGGGCAAGAGGTCAGTGGGAGAGGTGGTCTGCTGCGTTGCCTGGCTACCTAATCTACAGGGCAAGAGGTCAGGGGTAAGAATTCCTATGTTGCTTGCTAACCTGACAGCAGGATCCGATCCTATCTATTACAATTTACTACTGCTAAGGCCTATCTTCTGAGGACCTTGTAGTTTTTCCAATTAAGCTAATCTTTAACTGACTGGTAAACCCCAGGCTTGTTACTTGGAATTTGCTTTATGTCAGAAGGGGTGGCAGGGTGGTCTTAGTGTCACGTCTTCTCTATGAGTACGTGATACAGCCTAGCTGACTGATGGCTGGAGGTCCCTGACATTCCAGGACAGCCAGAGCTACAGAGAACCGTCTTAACAACAAAACAAAACAAAACAAAAAAACCAATAACCAATGCCCCCAACCCAAACCAATCACCCAAACAAACCAAAACCAAAAAGAAAAAAAAAAAACCAAAAACCAAACCCCCAAACAAAAACAAACATTAGTAAACTGGATAGCTGTAACATGCCTGCTGAATACCCAATAAATTACGAGGCCCTACTTTGACAACAGTGAATTTATCTGTAAAAATAAAGTCCCTTTATCTTAGCTGAGGATTTACTAGCAATTGATTGCTGTAGGGGATAGATAGCGGTTTTTATCAGGGGTGTGATTGCTGTAGGTTGCCCTTGTGATACAGGCAGTAGCGACTGGATTTGAGATGAACTACGAGAAAAATTTACAAAGATGAAGGTGGGAGGGGGCATATGGGAGGGGTTTGGGAGAATGGGAGGAATTAGGAGTGGGTATATAATATTGTATATATATAAGAATCTAAGAATAACTACTTAAAAGTAAACTTTTTTTAAATGGAAAAAAAATACCCAATAAGCTATTAACAGTGGTCCTTAGGGTTATGAGTGAGCTCTTATCATGTTCAATACTCCTGGGCTTTTAAAAAAAGTATTTTTATTTATGCAAATATGTATGACTGTCAGTATGCACGTGTGTACAGAAGGCCAGATCTCCTGGAGCTGAAGTTACAGGTGGTTGTAAGTTGCCTGATGTAGGTGCTGTGGACCAAAAGGTCTCCTGCAAAAGCAATCGGTGCTCTTAACTGCTGAGCCATCTCTCCAGCCCCTTGGGCTATTTTTGTTACACACACACACACACACACACACACACACACACACACACACACACACACACACACACAGAGTCATTATCTCAGCTTAGACTTGTGAAAACTGCTGATGGCCCAAGCAATGGTATTAGAATGATTAGCCTAAGGTGACATTCCAACTAGTAAGTTCATCTTGCTAGTCACTAACCACATTACTAAGTCAAGTATATAGAAGGTGAGCTGGTCAAATTTTTAGATGTGCAGAACAACTTTTACCCAAAGACAACTATGGATGACCCAAAAGATCTTTGGTTTTTTAACTGCATTTGAACAAAAAACAAAACAAAATCAAACAAATTAAAAAAAACAAGGCAATGTAAGAGAGAAGCTGCTTTAATAGCAAATAAATCTATCATATACAACTAATACTAAATATTCAGGCAGTATGAAAAAACTGTCAGAGGAAGTAGCACATTATTTTACTAGAAAACTGGCCTAATCCATGTCTTAGAATATTATTGATAACTGTTCTATTCTTTTTCTGTTGCTGTGGTAAAACATAATAACTTAGAGGAGGAAGAGTTTGTTTGGCTTATGGTTCAGAGGGGTGAGTCAGTTATGATGTTAAGGCATGGCAGTAAGCAGCAGGCATGGCAGCTGGAGACTGCAAGAATTGAGAATGGTGGTGGCTTTGAACTCTGAAGTCACCCCCAGTGACATACTTCCTCTATGGAGGCCACACCTCTTAACCTTGCCCAAACAGCCACCAACTGGGGACCAAGTATTCAAAGACTATGGGAGACATTCTCATTCAAATCACAACTGTTGTTGATTACAGGTGAGCTTCCACTAGTGCAAGAGAGGGACGCCCTCATACACAATGCCAATGACAAAATCAGCCAAGAGGCAAGGTCTCTGTGAATGTGTGAACGTGCTACAAGACTGTTTTGTTTGTTTTGAGACAGGCTGGCCTCAAACTTCCCATATAGTTGAGGATTACCTTGAACTTCTGATTCTCCTGAGTGCTAGAATTACAGGCAAGTACCACTATACCTGGTTTATTCAATGCTAGGATTGAACACACAGCCTGGGAGAGCTACATCCTTAGAAATAAACATTACAAATCAAAGCTTATTAAAAGTAATAGAAGCCTTTTTAGTTTCTTTAGTAGACAATTTATTTTGATAAACTTGCTCAATAACAAAAATACAAGTGAAGAAAATTATGTTCACTTTATACAGTTGTATTAACAATTTGTTTTGAAACTATTAATTGAAAAATGTTATAACCAATTAGAAAACAATTCTTAATAAAGTTGGGATAATATACAGATCTTGACCCACAAACTAAAACCTCTCAAGGCAATACAACTGTGTAGGTAATTCTACACAGACCACCTTTTTCCTTCATATATTTTTATCCTTCAAAAATTTTCTGAAAGACAGCTTACTGTTTTGACTTGTGAGTGAAAATTTAATTTTTAAAAGAAAATCAAAGTGGGCTGATAAAACAGTTACTGTAACCAGAGTAACTGGTGACTAGTAGTCTTTTAATAAAGACAAAATAAATGCAACATGTTCTTCTAATGAAGCCCATGATGCAAAATCATAGCTAAGAATAGATCCAAAGTTAGTTTTCAACACTTTTTTCAGGACCTTTCCTCTAAATCAATAGATTGCCTGTCACCAGGGCTATTTGCTATTTCACTGAAGAGATTAAACAGTGACCTCACAGAACACCACACAGAGAAATCAAAGCTGTAGGCAAAAAGGTAAAAACCAATGTGTTTTGGTCATCTAGAACATTACAAAGGAAAAAAAGGCATCTTTCAAAAACAAAACAGATGGAACAGAAAATAGGTCTGGGAGAGATGAAGAGTCAGAACTATCACACCCACACACTAACAACACAGAACATGGATTACCTTTGGAAAGAATTGTACTGAAATGTTGGCTTTTAATGAATTGAAGATTTTTATCTTTACAGATGTTTAGGCTTGTTCAATAGGAGCTTCCCAAAAACTCAAACAAATTCAGCCTTGTGCAAATAAAACCTAAAAAATAGTTTTCAGCAGATTTTACAGTGATATTCTTAGGCATGAGAAGAACATACACTCTAAGAACAATGTAACAGACAAAAATTTGACAAATGATTGCACCATAAAAGTGTTTTATATACATTTTACAAGATATGATCCTGCTATAAATTAATACTGTGCTATGTAGTACTCATAGTGACCTTTTAACAGCAGCTGCTGGCAGCTGGGTGTCCTTCCACTTCCAGGACAGATTATACAGATGAGTCCACTTCAACAACATTTGGTCTGGGAGAGTTTACAAAGACGGGACTTCACACACTACTTGATAGGATGGTCTTAGTCCTGGGTGAGAGCGCTGAGTGGCTAGAGGGACTAGCTCTTCATGCACTGGTCCTCCAAGACAATGATGAAATTAAAGACAATTTAATGGTTTGGGTAATAGATACAAATAAATCCTAAAATTTTGTAATCTTATATGCAATACCACTGTGAGAGAAGTAAACAGCGGGGAAATTCATAGCAGCTGAGAAACTTTCTCTCCCCATGCTCATGATCCAGTTAAAAATATCTTGAGAAACTATTTACAGTAAAATCCATCTTTTGAAAGAGAAAAGCTCTTGGTCATGTCAGTTAGTTTGAACTACACTTTGCTAACCCTTCATATCAGTGGTATAAAGCCAACTACCAAAGCTTTCCTTCAGAGTGACCCATTTGACTGAGGACCAATCAGAGTCCAGTCCCCAATGTCCACAGGACATGTCTAGTGGTGGCCTTAGAACTGACTGGAGCAACACTTGGTAGAAAATGTCCTTCCTCTGATTTACTACAGGGTTCTCACACAGAAGGGTCTCCTCCAGGGTTCCTGTGTGAGCCTAAACACTGGATTTCCATCCACAATTGAATACTGAAACCGGTGAATAACAGGTGGTGGGAAGTAAACGGAACCCTCTGTTCTAGAGTGTCTCTGAGGAGGCAACTCCACCTCCGAGAAACCATTCTGTGAGGAATAGTCCATCAAGTTCCTTAGAAATCATTCATGCTTGTATAAACCCAGGCTGCGTGGGACTCTCTTTTGCTCACCAACAGGGACATCTAGAGAGGACAAACTCAGCTCCACTGCCATGAAACACCTTTGTGACGAACTTCAAACATAGGATTATATATTGTTCACCAGGAAAAATCTAGGTGGATTTTTCCACAGGCATGGAAATGTGGAGAAGGGACTGTGTTTTAAAGTACTTGTGAGTTCAGGGTCAGCTGCACTGCTGCTTCTAGAAAAACCCTTAAGGCCGTGGGTTTAATGCAGCCTTCAAAACAAAGGCAAAGATTTAGCTTTTCAAGCAAACAAAGGTGTAAAGCATAAAAAGGAAATATATTGCTCAAGTGTTTGGTAAAGACGTATTAATTCTTTCAGATAAAATGCAATTTTTATGGTAGAATAGAATTAGTGTTGTAAATAGTCCAAATGGCCAGATATCTGCTAGTGAACTTAAGTGTTTATGTGAAGTTATGTGCTTGAACATATACAATGCATTATTAATGCAGAAGACTGAGCCAGTGGAAAAAACAAACCTCTATAATACAATGGATGACAGTCACCAATCATTTTAACAGTGTCAGGTTCCAACCTACAAGGTTTGACATGACCTTCTTCACTATCATATACAAATAAATTAAACCTAGAAAGAACCTTTAGCTTAACTGAAAATTGCACCTAGAAAGGTATGGAGTTATTTGTACCTATTACAGAAACCTGTCAAAATCAAGGGCTACTACAAAGAATGAGGTAAACTGAAGACTCTCTCCACTATGCAGCCTTCAGATAAATGGCTTTTTTCTATTGAGTTCTAGGTTGCACACCACAGTGTTTTGCTAGCAAGCATTCAGAGTTCTCTTCCAGGAACTGTTTGCATGTGTGCATATATAAATGTACACACACATACACACACACACATATACACACTGTATACTGCATCAGCAAAATATATATATTATATATATATTTATATAAATATAAGGAAGATTTCCCCCACCCGCCCCAAACTTGTTTCTTAGTGTTTTCTTTTTTCTTTTGTACATGGAGATTAGGGAGTTTTAGAATTTTTACATACATTTTAGCAAACAAGTTTTGATCTATTGGCTTCTCGGTGCAGTAATGCAATGGCAATCCATTGTGGTGCCAAAGGCTCATAACATGACAAAGAAGTTGAGAACACTAATGTCTTAGGAGGTGAGGCCAGCCCCACACAAACCTCCTGCACCCCTCTGGTCCATGACGATTCATAAATACTAGACTCCCTCCTCCCAAATGAATCATGAGACATTAAAAACAGATCAACGGAGTCACAAGGGGCCGCATGCTTTCAGTATAAAGCACTCTCCTTCACTAGGTCGCTATCACAGTGCAGACTGACTGCCTGAATATGCTCAGGAGAATTAGTCAATATTGTATTTGGTTATGGAAAAGGCTCTCATTCTTTTTTTTTTTTTAAATCCAAAGTGCATAGTGAGAACAAATCAAAACATTTTCCTTTTCAGCATCACGTTCATCTAAGCATCTTCCTATGAGAGGACTGCCCAGATGACTGCTCTGTCCTCCCAACCTCTAAAAAGAAAAAAAATAAAAATAAAAAAAAAATAAAAAAATAAAAGCGAGTTAAGCCGTTTAGACATTCGTCAGCCTGGTAAACAGACTTTGCCAGCAAAGAGAAGTCCTACTATTGTGAAGAAAATCGATAAGACAAAAAGTACATATGATGACCCAACTACTGTGTTGTTGGGTAACTTATAAGGTTGACCTCCGACTTCATTGATGTAAAATCCTATTGGAAATATTAGGGCAGCCATACAGAAAAGGATCACTGTAAAACAAACCAAAACACAACATTAGTAACATGCTTTGGTGATGGAAAAAAACAAAAACAAAAGCAACAATGAAAATTTGGTACAAAGCAATTTATATGAGGGTCTGTGGATAACAAGGTCAAATCTGTGAAAATATGGATCCCTTGTCACAAGACACAATTCCCCAAGCTAACAAACCAAACACACTGGAAACTGAGCTACAGTTCTTTACACAGTTATTTAGATGATTTTAAATCATGAACGTGTGTGTGTGTGTGTACCATCTAGCCATTAAAGGCAGAGTTAGGAGTGAAGTTCAGGCCCTGTCTGTCTTAACATTTATAATTAAGGGCAGAGTGATGTTCAGGCCCTAATATTTATTAGCCAGTCTGTTTTCTTTCTAAAAATAGGAGAAACCCTATAAACGAAACATGTCAAGTCTCTAGCAAAGCGTCAGGCTGGCAGAAGTGTTAAGTAGACGCTGTCACTATTACATCACAGCTCTTACTGCCAGCCCTCCTCCACAGTAGTAGAGGGAACCTAGGAAAAAGGTACATAAACTAAGAACTACTTCTCTTACTCTAATTTTCAACCAGCTGGAGAAAGATCATCAGATCTTTGGTTTGGTTAGCAAACTGTCAGAGTGGTTATCTCTCATGGATAAGTTCCAGAGCAGTAACTTTTCTATCAGGTTCTGAACTCACAAACAACAAAGTGAAGAAGGACGAGAAACCTCCTTTGGGTTTTATATATAAACACAATGAATGTATTTTTCACTAAAATATTTCTAGAAAGATTACCAGAAAATAATACTTGCCTAGTCTTTTACCAAACAGTGTATTCCCTGTGATACCAAACACATGCTTTTCCCAGCAAACATAATTACCCACAGCAAGACTAGCCTTCCTGAGAAATTATTTTTGTTTCTTGAAGGTCAGGTGCTAATGGTCCCTTGCATTTCTTGGGACAGAAAGCTTTTTGTGAACACAGATGAACTAGCTGCTGGGTATGAAGATCTGGAACTTTCTGTGGCTAACAAAATGAGAAACCTTTCCAAGACAAAGCTATCCGCAAGAATATCCAGACAACCCTGGACAAATATCAGTTGCCAACAGCTCTAAAATTTTCTGGTGGATCAATCAATCAATCAATCAATCAATCAATCAATCAATCAGAAGAACTTAAAATGCAACCATTTCTTGGACAGATTACCAACAATATATTAAATAGTAACATTTACTTAAGTCATATATCACTTAAGAGACATATCAGTATTCTTTTGTTCTATCATTCTGGTAGATTATTCTATACTATATAGACAGAAAAATATAGTTCATTTTAGACAAATGACTGTACAAAACAATATCATACAAGCAAATTTGAATTCTTTGTAACACCTACAAATGAAAAATTTAGGCATCAGATTTCATTAGGGTTTTGGCCATTTTGACTGGTAAGCAATCAACAATTTTAGATGTGCTGTAAACATCTACTTCTCAGTGTGGGCGAGTGAATGAAACCAATCTAATATGACCACTGGGGTTGAGTGAGGTGTGTATGAACCAACTGCAGGTCTTGGGGGATGCAGGCAAAACGATCTCAAGCAGTAGGCCAGCTTGAGCTACAAACATGAGGCCCTATGTCAACACAATATGTGTAAACACACACACACACACACACACACACACACACGTACGTACGTACGTACGTAAGTCCATTGGGGGCAAGATTATTCCTAAAACATTTTTTTCTCTGATATTGAGTAACAGGAAACAGTAAAATAATTCAGAAGCACTTTAGTAGTGTATAAACATTTGTTTATGTTAATGTGCAAATTTTCTCTACTGAAAAATTCTGTCCTTTATAATGACAACAAATACTACTCATTTAGCAGCTACGGTTATAGTTAATATTATGAACAGTATTTTCCAAACTGGTTAGGAAAATCTCAACAAAATATGAGAAAGCACTTACTTCCTATTCAGTTTTGATTTTAAGGCCTAGAATTCTGGTTCTCTATACTTTCTAGGGTCCAGATATATGTGGATGGAGTTTTTGTTTTAAGCTATCGAGAACTGTGAAGCTACGTCAGATCTTAAATCATCATTAGTGTTTATAACAGCTATCACATGTGAAGATAAGCTCTGTTCCCAAGTAAGCTTGTAAAGACAGCATCATCTCCACCATGGAACAGACTTCTTGGTAGTGACAACAGGATTTCCAGGGCTTGCTGGTGCCCAGTCTAGCCAAATGGTGAATGCCAAGTTTAGTGAAAGACCTTGTCTCAAAAATTACGGTGGAAACTGACAGGCAGTTGTGGGCACACACAAACACTCACACACACATGAACACACACACACACAGAGTGATAAAAGAATAGGGTCAGACTTAAAAGGACTCATCTTTGTCCCCACGGCAAAGCCCATCCTATGGGGCTCTCCTGACAGAGGATCTGACATTAAAAAGTTACTCTCACATTATTACAAAAACTACTACCTAACTAATGAAAGAACTATATATGCCTGGGCAGTGGTGGTACAAGCCTTTAAGCCCAGGACTTGGGAGGCAGAGGCAGGTGGACTTACAAAATGAGTTCTAGGACAGCCAGGGCTACACAGAGAAACCGTGTCTCAATAAATACAATAAATAAATAAACAAAACTCTATATACAGCATGGCTCAAATACATCTTCAGGGCTGGCCCACTAGGGGGAGCCCAGTTTCTCCCTGAACTGCTCCCTAGTCAGCAAGCACAGACTAAATGTCAACTTAAAAATTTACTTCAAACCATTTTAAGTGAAAGAATAGAGGTACAGAATAGAGACACTTTTATATAAGTGTATTTTTAGAGTAGATAAGGGTTTCTATGTATATAACATTACTCTTTAGAAACTCCCAACCATTGCAAGGGCCTCCCTCCTGCAAGAGGTTCTGAGGGCTGGTGACAGGAATGAATGAGACTTCACTTGGTTACCCATCCCTAGACTTGAATCACTATCATATGTGCATACAATCTCAAAAATAGGAAAATAAATTGCATTTGGGAGTCAACTGTACATAAAGACTTTTTGTTGAAGGGGAATGAAACACAAAGATAAACCCTAGTTCCTTTCCTTTTCTGGCCCCTGTGAGTGTCTTACTGTTGTCCTTGCCTAATCTAAGTTTCTTACATTGCAGTTTAGGTTTTTTGATCCTTGATACTAATTACTCATTAGCCAGTGAAACATAACTGGATAAATGACTGTGTCTGTGAGTAGAAGACACAAAATTAGATTCTCTTTATTTGAGTTCCTCATCAACATGCTTTCAGTTAGCAGCCTCACCTCTGTAACTCCTCTGGCCCTCACTGGCAAAGAGTTGTCTCAGGTCTCTGACAAGAAAAACAGCATGTTTCTCTTGATTATTAAGGGCGAGGAGTAGTTGCTTACCTCAAAGGCAACTTAATCTAGATTGTAACAGTCAGGGAGATGTGTAGGCAAGAATAAACAAAGTCAGAAACAGAGTTCCACAGAAAGCTGAAGAGACAGGGACTCTTGGAGGAATAGTGCTACCCTCAGTCTCTAAAGACATACTGACTTGTCTTAATTGGATTGTCCTTTGGTGATAGGGACAGCACTCAAGGCCTTCACATACCACCCGCAGTGCTCTAACTCAGCTCCATTTCTAGCTGAGATAAACTGAGTTTTAATGTTAACAGAGATACTTGAGGTTATCCATTACTCTGGTTATAGTAGTTACAAATAAAAACACTAAGCAGAAGTGAGCTGTGTTAAAGCTGTCTTTGGAAATGTAGGTAACTTGAGATGAGTCTAAAGCACTGCATGGCACCCTCAGTGTTGTGCACGTCTTTATCCCATGACTACAGGCCACTGCCCACGGCTACTGCGCACCACACAGTTCTCCCTGTGGAGGATGTTTAGCAGCATGCCTGGCATCTGCCCACTAGCTACCAGCAGCACCTCCCTAGTTGTGATTATAAAATATGTTTCCAAATATTGCCAAATATAGCCTGTGGTAAAAAAAAATATTTAGAGACAAAGAAAACAGAATTACAGAAATGTTTGCGTGTATATAGTTGTTTTCCTTAAACGGGATAAGTTTCTAAAGTGTTCAGTAATTAAACCAATTTTGCAAATTAAAAGTGAATATTATATGTAATTTATAAATTCATGACACCACTGGGAATAGCTTAGTAGAATAAGAAACTTTGACAATTACTAAAAAACTAAATATGTTGATTTTTCAGTCGTCATTCAACCCAGCAGAAACAAAATTTAACAATATTAAAAAGCAAATCATTGCCTTCATCTAAATTGTATATTTTCCTAGATTTATCTTTATTTTGATGAGGATACCAGTACCTTCATGAAGTGGAAACCATTTGGACTAGAGTGGCTCCGAATCACAACCTAAAAACCTTATGTTACAGAGAGTAAGAATAGCCTCATTATAAGAGCATTCACACAAAGCAGTGACAGCTGTGGGTGTCCTGGTCCTGCAGTGAGAACGCTGAAGATCTACCTCAGGGCCACGTGAGTGGTGCTCCGGGAAGATTTACTGAGTTCTTAGGACTGATCTTGATAATCTTCGTAAAAATGCCACTGCGCGTGCCTTCTAGACCAACTTAGGAAGCACGTGCTACTTACTTCCAGTGAATGCTATCCATCGAGCATATTTTGTAGCTTCTCTTCGCCAGTGGGAAGCCACCAGCAAACCACATGTGACAGTCAAGGAAATAATTCCCATGATGATAAAAAACAGGGTGGTGACCCATTCTGGGGGAAGCCGGGGAGGGATGCAGGTCCGGTCTCGTCCATGGATTGTTTGACACTGTCGTACTAGGCCCACAGTGAGTGCTCCTGGGAAGATGCAAAGGTGGGAATACTTTAGTAAGTCTGGCACACCTGAGGAATATCCCACAAAAACCTCTTTTGAAAAAAACCTCAATACACCCCCCCCTTTTGAGACTCAGAAGGTTGCCTCAGTGGAAAATTCCCCAAGGTCCCCTAGACAGGGAACAAGGTCTGATTAAAAAGAACATCTGGTCCAGAGTGCTGATACAGGACACCGGCAGGCTGTTAACATAAGTTTAATCTTGACCTTGTGGTTTCTCCAGGAAAGATGAGTTATGCCCACGCCTCTTACAATACCCCTATTGCTTGCCCAGATCTGCACCTGCAGTAGCTCCACTTCTTACAATACCCCTATTACTTTGCTTGCCAAAAGTATGTGTATAAAAAGAAAACTGTCCTAAAGCCCAGCGTGCTCAGTTAGCTAAGGCTGCTGAATTGCCCACAGACGCCTGTGTAAACAATAAACCTCTTGCGGTTTGCATCCAACTGTCTGGTTATTGAGCTTGGGACGTCACCGGGGTATTCAGCCTGAAGCCTGAAAACTTCAGGTCTTTCACATTCATACTTAAATCTTGTTGGTATCTGTGTGGGCAATCCACGCATTTAATTAGGGAGTTCTCTTTGGCGGTCTGATGCTGTTTATAATGTGGCAATACTTGAATTAATGTAGAAATGAACATAAACAACAAGAACAAGTCCTGAGAACCTTAAAGGTAGTTAATTCAGTCATTTATTGAACAAATGCATTTTTTCTGTCATGACAGTTTTTCCACAGAGGCTAGACCACAGTCCAGGTAACTGGACACCATCAGGAATCTCCCTTGTCAATGCTGCTTCAGAGTACTTGTGTCAGGCACCAATCTGGGCTCCAGGGAAACTCCAGCGAAGTTGCTGGCTGAGACCTTGCCCTTCTTGGGCTGCACACTGTGTTCCAGACTCACTGGATAGTACTTTATTTGACTGAGGAGGAAGTATGTATAGAAAACTAGATACAAACTTGAAATATACCAGATGGTAATATCTAAAACTAAGCAATGCATTAAACACTAAGGTGAATGTTATAAAAAGTAAAAGGTCTGGCTCATTATTTTTCCTATTGTACAAGAGTTGGCACTGCTGCACCTTTACTGTCGTGTGTCAATAGGAAAACAAAAGTTACAACGGCAAGCTGTAAAGTACCCCCCACCACTAATTATTAAAAACTTTATTACTGTTATTACTCTGTTATTGTTAATCTGTAGGACAGTGTGAGAAAGTGGTGTGTGCGCTCGCCCACACACATGTGCAGGGAGGCTGAGGATGGCTTTGTGCAGTTGGTGCTCCTTTCTAGTAACCTGGGTTTAGAGGACCACACTCACCAGGTCAGGCTTGTGGGCAGAAGCTTTTCCCATGAGCCCTCTTATAGTTCCCTCCCTTTCAGATAAATGAATTGACTTCTGTGAAGCACCAAGTGCCATTTGGTGTGAATTATTTCAGAGAAACCAAGGTTAGGAAGGTAAAAGACTATTTTCTCTTTTTCCACACAAAGAATTAAAATTTACTTCCAAATGAAAGCTGTCCCCTCTGCAAGAGTGATTGCAAATAGGGAGCAGCTACCACAACACAATCATAACATGACGAGCCACGGAAGAGCAGATTCCCGCCGCCTTCTGGGGAGGGGTGTCTTTCTTGGCTGGCCTTTTGTTTCCAGTATGAGTAGTGCCCTCCCCCAGTCCACAATAGCAATTCCTCAGAATCACAGCACCTGCCAGGAATAGGGTCTTCTTGAGGACAGGCCCGAAAAATGGGGGGCATGGGGGGCACACGCCTGCCTGTACAGAGTAGGTGGGTAGGTGGGCTTCTTAGGAAGGAATGCTTTGTACAATTTGCATTTTTCCATCAATCCAGTTCTAGAAACAAAGCATGTGTTAAAAAGAAAGAGAAACATGGGCTGGAGAGAGGGTCTTGAGAGGGGACTCAACGGCTAAAGTGATTGCTGAGCAGGCCAAGGGAGCTGTGTTTGGTTCTCTGGCTTCTACTAGGGACAACAGCAGCGTGCAATCCTAGTGTGGGGAGGTGGAGAGCTGAGGACTCTGGTGTCTTGCTGGCCACAGTCTAGCTGAATCTGAATGGCCCAGAGAGAGGTCCTGTCTTAAAAAACACTTGCAAACTCACACGCGTCTTTCCTACACCATGCACATGATTAAAACAAAACAAAATAAACACTAAAATAGATTTAGAAAAAAATTCTTTCAAAAGTGAGTTATGGAGCCTGGAGAGAGCTCAGCAGTTTAGAGCACTGGCTGCTCTTCCAGAGGTCCTGAGTTCAAGTTCCAGCAACCAAACAGTGACTCATAATCATCTATAATGGGATCAGATGCCCTCTTCTCGCATAAAGGCATACATGCAGATAGAGAACTCATATAATCAATAAATATATTAAATATATTAAAAAAGAGTTATGGTCTCCCCTCTTCTCCAATGCTAATTCTACCTGGCCAGGCCTCTGAGAAGATAAACAGCTGTACTTTTTCTTTTAAATAAATTAGGTCCATCTGATGAATCCTGTACAGGTGCAAGCAACACAGGTCCAACATGGGGACCATCACAGGCAGCACAGAGAGCAAAGTGAGCAAACCTTTACAGTACTGCCATCCACAGGTCCCCCGCTGCCCAGTGGGAACCTAGCGGGGGTTACATGACTTCATAAACAGTACAAGTTTACCCTGAATGATGAGTTGAGGTGGGGCAAAGCCTCACATTGATAAAGCATTATACTGTAATTCTGGAAATAAAGAAGGCATTCACAGCTGTACCCACCGACTCCTAACAGGAAGCCACTCCCGATCATTCAGCAAAAAGACTTCTAACAAACTACCCTCTTGTAGTGGTAGTTCCATTTACAAAAGCTGAACTGTAATGATGAAAGTGTTGCAACAAAATGCAACACTGTGGATTCACAATCCAACACACAAAGAAGTCTGACTGGCAACTCTCCACACCTACTGACCAGATCAGCACTGAGGGTTATCTTGTGCATCCAAATATTAAAATCCTGTCCAATGATTAGATTGAAAGCTTTCTCCTTGAGAATATTTTTGAGTACCCTCGTGTTCCCCCTCTAACCCTGGTTAAGGACAAGATGATGATGCCTATTGTGCCTTCTGATTGTCAGAGCAAGACTTCGTTTTTTGTCATCTCTCCTGTCTTGTAAACCACAGCAAGTAAACAGGAACAGAATGAGCAAGAAAATGAAAATGACAGCTATAAGCAAATTGGAGAAATCCTGATGGATGTTCATCTGTAGAGAGGTTCTGCTCCTGTATCTCTAACCCTCCTTATCACAACACAGCAAGACTGAATACTTAGCACCTCTGAAGGGGGCAGACTGGTAAGGCAAGCAAACGTTTACAATAATGTCGCTCACTGCCCCGTGGCTGCTCTGTAACTGCTCTGAAAGAAAGGTCAGCTAATTTTAATTGGCAATTAGAGGGTATGTTACACAAAAGAACACTAATACTTATATTTTTCTGTGTGCTGGATTTGTGGTAGTGGTGTGTGCTCAAATACATGAGGCCCCAGGTTCAATCTCTAACAGCCGCAGAGAATTACTGCAAAGTTTCCAAACGCCTGGCTGTTAGAGAAGTGAGATTCCCAAAACAATACTCTCCCGCTTCCAGTGAAAACAAATTTTCCTCAAACAGAGAAGGGTTAGTGTCAACAGTGGTCAGCCAATGTTGTTATACTATGCCCTCTGGAGTAAGACTGTAATTCAATAGCATTTATGATATAGTCGCACATAGTCTATAGGTTAACTGAGAGAGTCTACACAGTCCAGTCAATTGCTTGGGGATTTAGATTTTGTTAGTGCCCACACTTTGAGCAGGCCTTTAAATTTCATCTTTATTTCAATGAATATCTCTGACCCATCTTTCACTGCCTCTAGATTCTCTAATACATTCTGTCTGCATCACACAGTCACACAGCTGCTGGTAAAAGTAGCTCTGAGGATAGTGGTGGTGATGGCTACTGAACCCAGGGATCCTCTAACTTCAGCAGTGGGGATTAAAAAGTAACAGAACACAGCTGGGCATGGTGGTGCATGCCTTTAATCCCAGCCTTCAGGAAGCAGAGGCAGGGCAGATCTCTGAATTTGAGGCCAGCCTAGCTTGCAAAGTGAATTCCAGGATAGCCAGGGCTACACTGAGAAACCCTGACTTGAAAAAACAAAACAAAAACAAAAACCAAAAACCAAAAACCCAACCCAACCAAAACAAACCATAAACCTATAAAACAAAACAAAACTAACTAACTAACAGAAAACCAGAATGCCATCTTTTCAGAGAGAAAAAAAACTATACTTTGTGCTTGATTGGGAAACTATCAAATGGCTTGTAGCAGTGGATACACAGCAGGAATCTAATGAATTAAAAAGAAGCTACAATTAGAGCCACACTGCATTCCAGAGGTTCTCTTTAAAAACTGTTGTTTGGTGTGGCTTCTTGCAGCATGTCAGGTTAAGCAAAAGCCCAACCATTCTCTAATTTCTGTTTTACACAACAGGTTTTTTCCTTTTGAAGGGGCCTGTAACTGCATTCCCCAAGCAGCCAATCTATCTGTACCCTGTAGCTGTTGCCTAGGTAACCAATCCATCCAAATAAAAGATTTATACACCATAGAAAAAAAGGAAACCAAACTAGAGGCTACAGCCTTCCACAAGGCTCACAGGATGGCTTGCACCTGTGTACCATCCACTGGAAAGTCACAGGAGTCCTGCTCTGCTGAATGTGGGGCCTTCACTGAAACCAGCTTCTGAAGCACATCCTTTAGACCAGACTCTGAGAAGACTTAGCACAGCCGGGCTGAGCACGCCTGCTGCCACAGTGAAGATGATGAGGAGGTATGTATGTCATCACTGCGTTAAGGGCAGACACAGAAAATCTGTAACCCAGAGCAGAGGAGCAGCACACACGCCCACCAGAGCCTATCACAGGCAAAGTCATGTGATGTGCCCACCAACCTGGACC